ACTCACACACTCACTCTCACACTCACACACTCTCACTCACACTCTCACTTACACTCTCACACTCACACTCTCACTCACACACTCACACACTCACTCACACACTCACTCACACTCTCACACTCTCACTCACACACTCACACTCTCACTTACACTCTCACACTCTCACTCACACACTCACACTCTCACTTACACTCTCACACTCACACTCTCACTCACACACTCACACACTCACTCACACACTCACTCACACACTCAAACACTCACTCTCACACTCACACACTCTCACTCACACTCTCACTTACACTCTCTCACACTCTCACACTCTCACTCACACACTCACACTCTCACTCACACTCACACACTCTCACTCACACACTCTCACTCACACTCTCACACTCACACACTCTCACTCACACTCTCACACACACTCTCACACTCACTCACTCACTCACACACTCACTCTCACACTCACACACTCACACTCACACACTCTCACTTACACTCTCACACTCACACTCTCACTCACACACTCACACACTCACTCACACACTCACTCACACTCTCACACTCTCACTCACACACTCACACACTCACACTCACACACTCACTCACACTCTCACACTCACTCACACACTCACTCTCACACTCACACACTCACACTCACACACTCTCACTTACACTCTCACACTCACACTCTCACTCACACACTCACACACTCACTCACACACTCACTCACACTCTCACACTCTCACTCACACACTCACACTCTCACTTACACTCTCACACTCTCACTCACACACTCACACTCTCACTTACACTCTCACACTCACACTCTCACTCACACACTCACACACTCACTCACACACTCACTCACACACTCAAACACTCACTCTCACACTCACACACTCTCACTCACACTCTCACTTACACTCTCTCACACTCTCACACTCTCACTCACACACTCACACTCTCACTCACACTCACACACTCTCACTCACACACTCTCACTCACACTCTCACACTCACACACTCTCACTCACACTCTCACACACACTCTCACACTCACTCACTCACTCACTCACACTCACTCACTCACTCACTCACACACTCTCACTCACACTCTCACTCACACTCACACACTCTCACTCACACACTCTCACTCACACTCTCACACTCACACACTCTCACTCACACTCTCACACACACTCTCACACTCACACTCTCACACTCACACACTCTTACACTCTTACACTTATCTTATATATCTTACAGTATCACAGTTGTCAATGTATCACATTTATGGCAAATAACATCACAAAACCCACGGTGATTGAAATAGCCTAAGTTTATTATCGTATGAACTAAAAAAACTTGAGTTCTACATAAAAAGAGCAAAACGAAAAATCTATAATATGATATAATGACAAACATAAACCTAGAATCTAGAAACCTGAAACAACACAACTCTTCTATAATGTTAGAAGCCTGCTCACCAAGGCTGCATTTATTTGATTAAAAATACAGCAACAAAACCCAGCAATATTGTTAAATATTATTAC